TCAATATATTGGAGGTCGTCTCTTTTCACAAAAATAAACAAACGAAAAACCGTCTGAGCGAGGCCAGACATCCTGAGCCCACACACTTCAATAGCTGGCGATCAGTACGCTCTCCCCTTAAGGGACAGATTTGTTTCGCGTATTGGCAACACAGCATCCGCTTAAGCATCCTTCGGTATTTGCCCCGGTAGGCAATATAGACAACAGTTTGGAGTAAAGTTTACCTGAGAGCCGAGTGCCATCGCACAAGTGCAGATGAATAGGGCGACCGTGTATACGCAAGTGTCGTCAAGCAATAGGTGAAGTGAAATTAGCTGAACTAAACTTAGAGGCAGCATGAATAAAAAGAAAGGTACAATGTAGATGAGGAGGCCGCGGACCATTTTCAGCCGTCGCGCATCACTGCGGGCTCAGATGGTTAGAATTGGTTGCTGTTCCGTCTGCTCCTGAAAAAAACAATCCGACCGCCGGAGAGCACGTCCAACCAGAACACTGCAGACAGTGAGAATTACCAGCGGAAACAGCGTTACCAATATGCCGTTAGTGAAGCAGTGTATGCGCCAAATCCATGTCCACATTCCCGCCCACTCTGGTCTTGCAACCTTGATTGTCGCAAAGGAGATGACAAGAAGTCGAATCACGACGGAAAGTCCAACAGCTATGAGGCGATTAGTTGACTTTCCACTTCACCATAGCTTGCTGTGAAAGGGTAAGCAGATGACTAGGAGGCGCTCCACACTAATTTGTGCAAATAACGAAATCCTACAACATTTGAGAATGCTCTCGGGCGGAATGATTATGCTGGTTAAGATAGGTAAATGCAGTGGACAGTCCCGACCACAAAAAAGGCAATAATTGGGAAATAAGCAGGGATATAAGAATATACAGGACATCAATCACAGATAAGACGATCGGGAGCTAACGAATTGTTCAGACGTTGTCTTGTCGTGCCAGAACATGCATATGCTCAGCCCGCTAGTGACTATACCAACCACACACACACCGGTAGATAAAAAAGCGGATTATGGCGTAGAAAACCGATTATGTTTGACCTTTTAGCCAGGCCTGTCGTATCATATGGCAGAAGCTGTCAGTCGCTGTTATATTAGCAGCTATTTGGTATTCACTAAGCTTCAGATAGAGAGGCAAATTTATTGTGCAATATTTAGCGTGCAGGCCTGTACCTGGTTATACGTCCTAGGTGTCTAGCTGAAGACAAGCTGTCACTTTCGTGTACGATGTGCTACTGGTCAAATCACCTGGCCAATCGAATCATGAATATACATGCCGTGCGATTAGGTGATAATAGCGACCAATTAAAATGGTCCGACGAAACTGTAAGGGTATCAGTGTTGTAACGTAAACAATACCACAGGTGCAGGCATCCGAAATATTGAATGCCATATTTGTGGTCGATCTTGATATAGCAGAGATAATTTTATTCTTAAAAAATGCTGAGAAAGCTTAACTTTGCTTTACGCTTTATTTTTTAATAACCCTCTAGCTTTTTCGTTATAGAAGGTATGATTTTTTTTAGTATTTTGGTATCCATTGTTTTCTACGGAGTCCATCCGCACAGAATGACAGTGTTAAGTAATTATTAATTGCAAGTCCTATAGAGTCTCCTTTAACCGATATGACTGCTCAGTATGACGCAGTGAATGCAGAAATAAAAGTGACCCCTGAAAAAGATGTTAGCAATTCGTGCCTTAGTATGGCATTCGGGTGAGATTAGCTTTAACTCTCTTAGGTTTATTATTTGGTAGTTTAGTTCCATCTCTTTTTGGTGATGTTTAGTTGATTGTTGGCTCAGATGAGGATGCATTCTAAAAATGCGCACGACAAATGCGTGATGAACACTCTGTGAAGTAGCCCCTCATCATCTGCCCAAAGGTGTTTTGCCAGAAATTCCATCGTTTGCAATCTGTTTTAAAGAGGAAAATTCAGCCAGATTCCACCACCAGATTCCACCAGCCAGATTCCACCACGACACTTTAAGCGAGAACACCGGAAAGAGGGACAACATCATAAAATTCAGTTAGGAAAGTATGCTGCGGCCGCGACAACATAACAACCTACTCCCTCGTATTTTACATTTTAGCTAACCGTAAATAGTATTGCAAAAAGCATGACATCTGCATGTGTGGTGTCCTAATCTCATACAACAAAATGCAGTTAAAACATTTTCGCATCTGTAGCACCTAAACGTCTATGGCCACAATCCAATCATCTGAAGAAGAAAAAGAAATCGTGAACACTCAAAGCGAAAAATGTACGAGTACGAATCAACCTAAGTGCATATAGCAAGTTTCTTGCGAAGGCAAGCCGCAACCATTTGGATGTCTTAGCTGGCGTCTAAGTAAACCGCAAGCGTGGGCGGTGTCCATGAAACATATGATTTAACGTAGACTGACGTAACTCAAAATACGCGCATGTGTGAACTGTAAAACATTTTGTTTATGTCGGATATGGTAGCCAGTTTTCGAGCAGAGGTAATCGATTTAGAGCCGTTGTGTCATAATTGGAAATACGCGAATGTATTTATCTTGCCAAAATTTTCATGGAACGTTAGGTTGCAGTGTTGCCAGTGTTGCCGCTGTTGCCGTGACAGTCGACTTTCGAACTCGCGATCGCTCAGAGGAAAACGTACTAACCACTGAACTACGAACCCTCATTCTTGCAGTTATTAGATCGCGGAGATTCAATAGCAGATACGCGTGCGCCGATCTGTATGATGACCCCCTTTTCCACCCATGCCGCCATTAGAGCTCTCAGTCGATCGTCCGCCGCGAGGCGGATAGGACACAGGCAGAATGACATAACGAGTGGGAGTTCTTATTACAAGATAAACAGACGATTGGGTCCTATAACAGATCGGTGTACGCATATGTGTTATTGAGTCTCCGCGATCTAATACCGACAAGAATGAGGGCTCGTAGTTCAATATTTAGTACTTTTTCCTCTGAGCGATCGCGAGTTCGAAACTCGACTGTTACGGCAACAATGGCAACACTGGCGTCCGACGGTTTGAAAACAAGGAAACATCGTCTACGTTAAAAGAGATTCACAGATATAAATAAGGCCAGGCATGAAATAAATTTAAAACCGCCTTTGATTACCTAAAACACTTGTATTAGTATCTCAAACACATTGGATGGAATCATTTATAAATACAGTACTCAGCACATAATTTGCGTGTTGGACTGATGTGCTGCTCCTGAGTGCAACGCGGGTTGGCTCATAAATATTGAGGCTATACACGTCCGAACTGCTGGCTGCGTGAAGAGAATCGCTCGCGTTAGTACGCTCTCTTTTAAAGGGACAAGATTCAGTCCGCATATTGACAAGTCAGCATCTGCTTTAGCATTCTCCGGTACTTGCTCCAATTGACAATGTAAATAAAAAAGTTTGCCGTCGAGTTTAAATGAGAGCAAAGTGCCGCCACATAGATGGATGTGGTAATAGTGACCATGAAGGGACAGCTGGGTTGACGCAAAAATGGTAATTGAAAGTAGCTCAGTTAGAGGCAGAGGCAGCATGATTACAAAGAAGGTGTCGGTGAAAATTAGCCGACCACGTGTCAGCCTGCGTCATCGCGCAAAGCGGGAGTAAAAACCAGTGCTCTCGTTGTGGTTATCGTTTTGTACAGTCTGCTGTTTCAGCTCTTCCATCTGCCTACGACGGAATCGATCAGAACGTCGCAGCGCAAGTACAATCTGTAGACTATAGACAACGGGAATAATAAAAGGAATTTGGGTCACTATGGTGATCTCTATATAGGCGTGTAGTTGCCAAAGCCATGGCTTGAATGCCAACCAGTGTGGCGTTTCAATTTCTTTCACAGCTCACGAGATGATAGGAAGTTCCGTGTTCTCGATGACCAGGTAGCAGATGAGATGAAATGAAACCAGGAGTTTAAATCCAAAACAGGCAGCTAAGAGGCGATCAGTTAGCCGTTCATTCGACCACACTTTGCTACGAAGTGGAAACCAGACGACTACGATGCGTTCCACGCCGATTAGTACAACTACCCAATTCCTGAAGCATTCAAATATATCCATGAGCACACCTATTATGTGTCTAACTATGGGCCATCGGAGGAGACATTCACAATCAAATAGATGTATTGGTTGCCAAATAAGCATGGAGACCAGGAGGTAGATGACATCGACCACAGATAAGACGATCAGGAGCTTATGAGTTATTTGGGGATTTGTCTTATCTTGAGAGAACATGCAGATACTAAGATCGCTGGTGACTATACCAATCACACACACACACCGGAAGACCGAGAAGAGAGAGGAAAATAAGTCGATTGTGGCGTAGAAAATCCTCGTAAGTTGGACCTGCAAGCCAGGTCACTTGCAGCATGCACGGAACGCTGTCCTTTACGGTTATGTTTGCAGACATTTTGTAATTTCGCAACTCGAGACACAAGTGGAGCATAAAAGTACCTTTAATCTGATTGCAGAATTACTTCTGGTACATTTGATCTCATTTCATACTACGTCCTCTCCTTAATAATCATCAGGGTAATCTCTGATATAAAGAAGGCATTTGGCTCGGCAAAAGCGTAAATGCCTCTATTTCGTGTGGTACGACTGTAATTTATATACTTTGATCCACTAGAGTTTTCTCCATCCTATCGTAATCTCGCCCTCATCTCAAGCTCTGCAACCGTCAACTTCATCGTGGTTTCCATCGATGTCCGCCTTGTACCTTGCAGCAGGGTGCAAAAAGAATTAAATCACACCTAAAAGAACCTACTCGCCCTGCATCTATCGTGTTTTCTTCTCCTCACGCGACAGCTGCATTGCGCTAGAAGAAGGAAGAAAACACGATAAATTTCAAACGAAGAGGATAAATTAGTAGACTTAAAATAACCGGCACATGATCAGATCTAATTCGTTCAAAGTCTGTCACTTGTAGTCGCTTGCTTTCAGTCCATGTAAGTCAACACGCTTCACCGCCCATTTCCACCAAGTCAATCGTGTGCTCAACACTATTGTGGTGTAGGTACTGTTACATGCGTCGGATTTTGGTGAGATTAGACTTCCCTTCATCTACCTCACAGTCTAGTCCACTCCCCGGCAGTGCACCGTGTCAATACAAAGGCGAATAGAGATGACGTGGGAATTGGCGCAAATGGTGACCAAAGTGATAAAGCGCGCCATTTCCTGTTGTAGTTTATACCGAAGCGAACCATCCCTTGCGCATAATAATTCGATAGGGACGCAATAGATATACTATCCATGTCAAATTAACCGCAAGACTTAGATTCCTTTAACATAAACATATCCCATCCTGAGCTAAAGTTTGATCTTCGCTTCTGAGGACCTCCGCCGTGTACCCTGCAGCAAGGTGCCAGAAGAAGAATTAAATCAAGTGTGAGGAAAAGAGACTTGCACTACATCTAACGCATCTAGTACTCCTCTTCTTCTCTTGGATTTTCGAACGTGCTGGAAGAAGTGGAAGAATATAAAAAGCACGATGCGCTTTACAAGAGGTAAGTTATGTGTATAAAGTAGAGATTGGTGGACAAGGTCAAGTCTAGTTGTTTGATCGAAAGTCGGTTTTTGGTCAGGTCCACCGTGTGTTTGCTCAACAGAATGCTTTAGGGGCGGCGACTCGCACTGGATGAAAGTGAGAGTAGGCTTTTGGCTGAATCTGCCTCACTCTCTTGTCCATCGCAGCCTGCTAGCAATACAAAGTCCAGAGGAGATGACTGGAGATAAAGCGCAGACGCATGACCTGTAGGCCACAAAACATAGAAGATGACAGCGAAGGTGCGGGAGAGAGCGCTGGCTTGGAGTCGAGCGGGGTTGAAGAGTTATAAAGCGCAAACTGAGGTAGCCCAACCTCATTCAAACGTGCAGGGCCGAACTCTTCAGTTTGAGTTGACTATGTAGCAATATTAGTCATAAATACAAATGAATGTATGTGTTTCGCCGATCTAGTAGAGAAACGGTTAAGGTCTACTTTGCCTTCGAACTCACAACGTAAAACTGTCAGACCGCTACATATTGAATAGGATGATGTGATGAAAATAATCGAATAAAGCAAAGAGAGAACGGAATGACAATTTCTGTCTTATAGGCCGTCTTGAGGTTAATTGCGCCCCTATTAGATCGGCGAAACATAAACATTCATCCTATTCTTGATCGTAACCGACATAGTAAGGAGTCCGTGGACTAGTGGTAGAGTATTGGGCTCAATGACCAAGGGACTTGGGTTCAGATCTCGGGGGTTCCAAACGTTAAGATTGGGTATGACTGGCTGATGACGGCTAATACGCCAGAAGTGGCCATTCCAGCTTCATTTTGCTTTGTCGGATCCATTTCATAAATACTTATTGTTAGCTTCCATGATAACGATATTCTTAACTGTACTTTTTGGGTGTACGAGGATTTTGTTCGGTCTATAATCGCGGCACAAGTCATTAATTACATAAGGGGTGAGGGGTAAAACCTCATGTACATATCGTGACCTGGAAACCTTCAGGATAATGAAATACGCAAACTAGGTTTGTGATATTACTAAGAAAACGGTTAGAATTATTTAAAGATTTATGAAAAGTTTGCAATGTGTTTTATTGTTAATGTGACGTATGATAACTTAAGTCTTCAAACATAGCATAGTCAAATGCCGGGTAATCAGAGGCACATGTGTCTACACCTATAACATGCCGCTATAATTTGTGTGGGACTTTACATATTTCCATATCGAAAGGAAATTTCCGGCAAATACATGGGACACTAGAATGGACAATTTTAATGAATGAGCTGTCGACAGCTAGTAATACCAAACTCCAGGGTTGCCGCCGTTGTCGTGACAGTCGAGTTTCGAACTTGCGATAGCTCAGAGGAAAACGTTCTAACCATTGAACTACGAGCCCTAAGTCCTGCCGGTATTAGATCGCGGATATGCATTAGCAGATACGCGTACACCGATCTGATAGAAAACCCAATCGTCTGTCCATGTTGCCATTAGAGCTTCCACTCCAGCCCCCACCGCTAGGCGGCTAGTATATAGGCAGAAAGACATTATCGGCAAAGGCATGGTACACAAGTATGACTATATTTATGCTGAGAACGGCTAATGAGGCACAACTGCCCATTATGGTGTTCTATGTCATTGCCGGTTAGGATTTTCTGTCTATGTCCTATCCGCCGTGTTGTGGACGCTCAACTGAAAGCTCTAATGGCGATATGGACGGACAAGTGGGTGTTATAACAGATCGGCGTACGCGTGTCTGCTGCAATAAATGCGTATCAACAACTTAGCATTCCATGAAAACTTTGGAAGGATTCATACATTCCTATATTTCGAATTATGACTCCACGGCTCTAAATCGATTACCTCTGCTAGAAAACTGGCAACCATATCCGGCATAAACAAAATGTTTTTTTCACTTAATGCCTGGGCGTATTTCGATTAACGTCAGTCTACATTAAATCATATTTGTCATGGACGCCGCCCACGTTTGCGGTTAACTTAGACGACACTTAATGCTTCGAATAGCCATCGGCTTGCCTTCGCAATACACTTCCTATATGCACTTAGTTTGATTCGTACTCGTACATTTTCCCCCTTGAGGGTTCACCATTTCTTCTTCAGAAGATCAGAATTTGACCACAGACGTAAGGGCGTTATAATTGCGAAAATTTAGAAAAAAACTTTTAGCTGTCATGCATCAGAAGAAGGAGAAGCGTTCGCCGGGAGACGTGTATATGTATGTGTGACATTTCGAGGAATTGTCTCGTATACCCCATACTCAGAGAATGTACACTCTAGCTCATGATCCTTGTCTCTGTGTCGTCCTTTATTCTGTGCTCGTGTTCTACCAATCATAGCTGATGGGTAGACCAGACAACTACATCATCAACATCAGTCTTATAATAAACCTCTCCCAATGAGCGCTCCTTCCTCTTCTTCCGATTAACCACATGGGAACCTGCATCTTTTGTCATAAGCTTAAATGCCTGCTACTGTTTCAAAAGAAACTGCTTCGAAGCAGTTGCATGATCCGACAAATTGCTGATAAGTAAACCACCTTTGGAAAACGTTGGGTTTATTAATGAAGTTGAGGCTCGTACCCGCAGCACCTATACACATGTTATGCAACGGGAATTGGTCACACTGTTATGTTTGATAGCGTGGGCTGCGGATTGCTTAACTCACCAGTTTCTAAACTGATGTCGATTAATATGCGCAATAGACTCAGTGCACTCACGACCCAACTGAGATTTTTTTGCGAAATATTAACACCCTCTCGCTTATCGGCATTGAGTAAGTTTATAATCCTAAAATATGTAGTTTACTCTGAAGTCATTTCAGTGAGCACAGTATATCGGATATTTAAGGACCTGTGGTTTGACTGCTAAGAACAAGTGGCTGTAACAAGTGGCTACATAGGTAGTTTGCATTTTACCATTGATTTTATCTGCCTTCATAAATTCAAATAAATTTTATTAAACAAAATATACTAACATCTATTTGTTGTACTCGTTTGGTAGAAATTACGCCTTCATTAATTTTTAATTTACGGTGCCTCTAGCTTGACTCTAAAAGACAATGACAGTCTATCCATGAACCTGGGATAAGTCTATCCCAACTTGAAGAAGGCAAGTTTAACCCTTCGAGGCTGACATTTAATTGAACAGTTAATTCTCTTATAAGTAGGCAACGATCGTGTGCAGCTGAATGAGTTGCTACGAAATTTATGACGTCAGTAAAATTCTGCTCAACTCGTGATCTTCGCCTTGTTAAAATTTCTTCTGGGAAAACAATATTTCAATTTTCTGAAAAGACGCCTCTTGTCAAATCGCTTGATCAGTCCGCCCAACTGAGATGCAAAATCACCCGAGTAAAAGTTAGATATGAATTCTTACGGTCTTGCAGACAGTCTCGGAGTTATCCCCATCAAATGAGTAAAACCCTCCGAAAAGATGTTCTACGCTGCACACTCCAAAATCTCGACAGCCCCATTGTGTCAAAGATGGAGGACTGCGAATTTCTACTTTCGCAAATACGCTGTCCACTGGAACAGTCAAAGCATGTGTTGGTCTCGGTGGGCGCCATATGTTGGTTGCTGTCCATCAAGTACGTTTTAAACTAAGACACGACAATCATTACACTCCGATTTGATCAAGTCGCTTAAAGAACAGCCCATAGATGAATCCTTTTCTCTAAACCCATATGACTACAGTACTAACATGTCGGACATGACACTGAC